TTCCTTCACTGTTCAACTTCTTTCTAAATTATTAACATAAATGTTATCAGCAATTAAAGCCGTGCTTCAAAGTTATTGTGAAGATACCTATCCTAGAGGTGGAATGAATCAGATGTGGATACTAAAAAATTCCAAAGATCTTTTAGAGTACATACAATCTAAGACTCTTCAATCTTAAAACATATGACTTTTCTGCACTTGACACAAATATTCCAAACCCTATTCAACTGATTTTTATAATTTGTTCTAATGTTGTACTGTTACACCACTGTCCCAGGTTAGGGGAGGGTTGGCGCCTTCAACTTGTTTAATCCCGCTACATTTTGTATGTGCCTGTCTCAAGTCAGGAGCCTGTAATTCAGTGGTTGTCGTGTGTTGCTGTATATCATATTTGTTTTTCGTTCATTGTTTTGTACATATATCGAGCCTATGGGTTTTTGTTTGAATTGTTTTGCATTTGTTATTTCGGTGCCTTTTATAACTGACTATGTGGTATGGGTTTTGCTCAATGTTGAAGACCGTACGATGACCTATAGCTGTTAACTTCTATGTCATTTGGTCTCTTGTGGAGAGTTGTCTCATCGGCAATTATACCACATCTTCTTATTTTCATAATAGACAAATTGAAAGATTTGGTCCTGCTTTGTTTCATAAAAAATAGCCAACGTAGATACATGTATCTTGTCTAAAGGAGGGATACATCTTACTTTGTAAAAAATCTCTCGGATTAAAACAAAAAATCTCTGAAACTGACATCATGTATGATGCTTGATTTCTTGATTGACAACATATTTGTTACGAGGACGTGCTTTTCAACAAATACTGTAAATGCAGAAATTGTTGCGATGTTTTAATTATTGCGAAAAATGCGACAGGGTTATAATCGCAATAATTTAAACTCGCATTTTGGAATGTTTTATATGAATTGAACAGGATTTTTCTCAATATCGCAAAAATTAAAATCGCATTTTAGTTTAAAATGACAAAATCGCAAAAAACATTGCACGCAATAATTTCTGAATATACAGTAATCGGCATTCCCATGGGAACCAACTGAGCTCCTCTCCTTGATGAAGTGTTCCTTTGTTCATATAAGGCTTACTTCATACAGGAACTTCTTAGTAAGCTAGCAGTATCCTTTAGATTCACAATTTGTTATAAAGATGATGTTCTCTAACTAAATAATTCAAAATTTGGTGACTATTATGAACGCATCTATCCCATCGAACTTGAGATAAAGAATACAACAGATACAGTTAAGTATGCCTCATATTTTGACTTATATCTAAAAATTGACAATGAGGGTCGGTTGAAAACAAAACTTCACGACAAAAGGGATGATTTCAGCTTCCTAATTGTGAACTTTCCATTTCTATGCAGCAATATTCAAGCAGCGCCTGTATACGGAGTATATATCTCCCAGTTGAGACAACATTCTAGAGCTTGTATTTTCAATAATGATTTCCTTGCTTCTAACAAGACAGCTATTAAACCAAGAGTTCCAAGTGGTGTTGTGAATTCATTTCATTCCTTTGTTAATTTTACGGATGCCATCACGAGTTGGTTGACCGTTATGGAATATCTGGTTCACAGATGACGACGGATATGTTCCAATTGTCGTAACTACAATCCCGTCCCCTTTCCCCCGAATATGACCTACTGAATAAGACTTATCACCGGGTTTGTACATGCATGAGCAACGAGAAGGTTGCCACATGTGGAGCAAGATCTGCTCACCCTTCCAGAGCACCTGAGATGACCCCAAGTTTTTGATGGGGTTCGTGTTTTGCATGTTATGTTTTTTGTACTGATGTTTGTCTGTTGTTTTGTTTTTCTTTTTTAGCCATGGCGTTGTCAGTTTATTTTCGACTGATGAGTTTGAATGTCCCTTTGGTATCTTTCTCCTTTTTTCTAAAGTTTTCTGTTTATAAATGCTCATAATTTAGTAGTCTAAATCTATCAAAATTAAAATTTGGCCGTGTGCTAAAAAGACCTGACTTAGAATTGTACAAACAAAGAAAACACATGATATTGCTATGATCTCTTTTTTGGGGGAAAGACCAGACTTTTTTTAAAAAATAGTTGAGAACAAATATATCCAGGAGGGATTGTTTCTTCTCTAAGTTTATTCAAAATATAATCCTTTCGATAACCTGTTCAAAGTCACATTGCTGAATCCTTTCATTTCATGATCCTCGGTCTTTGTCTTTGGTTTTCTATGTTGTATTTTGTGTACTGTTGTTTGTCTGTTTGTCTTTTTTTTTTAGCCATGGCGTTGTCAGTTTATTTTCGACTTATAATCTTGAATGCCCCTTTGGTATCCTCGCCTCTCTTTCATTCCTATTAGCTAATAAAAATTTAGGGATGTACATGTCGACTTGAAATTAAAATTGACTGTTTCTTAAAGCTGCACAAAATAGGTGAATGTATGCAATTTTGGAAGAACAGCTAAAGTTTTGTTCATTCTTGATCTTTATGGGTATATAACCTATGGGAGCACAATTATAGCACTTGACTGCTTTTTCAACAAGTAGGTGGCACATACACCTTTCACAAGATAATTGTGAGAGAAAACTCACGAGATCCGTGCACAATGGAATCATGACTGGAAAAAAATAGTTATCAATTTTCCAATTTATAGGAAAATAGCATAATAAGACAATCCCGTTCCTTCATATAATTCCAAATGAGTTCCAACACAAATACCAGATACAAGATACAAGTCCATCAAAGACGCTTCATTGGATTCAGTTATGCCGAAGAACAATACAAAAACAGCTTCTTTCCAGGAAGAATCAAAGACTGGAATAATGAACCGCAAAAACTTCTAGACATTGAGGACTATGATTCATTTAAGTTCAGACTCTAAGCACGCATTATGTAAATAGTTGGTAATTACGTTTTTGACCTGTATCTTAATGTAAATATTTTGATCTTTCCTGGATATTGACACAGATAGCCAACATCAAACTAGTGTATATGTCAAACGTGATGATTTCAACTGTCCATTGTCAATTTCCCATTTCTCAGCATTAATATTCACTCTGTTCCATCGTATGGCGTTTACATATCTCAGTTTATACCGTACGCTCGTTCACACTTAACGGACTCTATCAACAGGGATGAATTACTTACACAAAACTGTTCCAACAGAGTTATGAGAGAGAACGACTGAATCGCAATAACATAAGTTTTAAAGTTATCATCACGAATTGATTAACCGATACGATACATTGTTATCTCAACTCACTAGTGACGTATTTTTGCAATCTTAGATCATTATATACCAGTATAATAGTCGTCTGATCTGTCGTTTTTACATATTGTGTACTATACCCGATTGTGTCGACTTTTTCTGACTGTAAATTCGCATGGCGGGTGATACTAATAGCAGGAGACGCCTTCCATGTGGACGCGCGAGGTCTCGCTCATTTTGGTGTTTTCCGAATACATCAATTTCTGTTTGTTACCTTGATTTGTCTCTTTCTAATCGATTTAAGAGATTTGAACATCGGTAAACTACTGCCGACTTGATTTAATACCGACTTTTTGAATTAGATTTTAAGATTAGGAAAATACAATAAGTTTTAGGAAACAAGCATTTCATTCAATTGGCTCATCCCCTTGGCAGTGACAAGTTTCTTTTGCAGTAAGATGCACATGAGCGTAGAACTGTAATATTCCGCTTTTGAATAAGATAGCTGTTTTTATCTGAAAATATCTTTACTATTCTAATGAATTAATTTGAATTAATCTATAGTCGTGGTCACTACATTACACTAAGGGATCAGTTTAAATAACCGTGTGTTCACCTGAGAGTGTTAAATTGCTTGTGTTTGCGATACTGGTCTTTCAAGTGGACAATTAAATGTCAATTGTGCATTGTATCAAATTATAAATAACAAACTTTTAATATTAATTATTCATATTTATACATCAGCTAATACACCTCTTGTTGCTATTATCTTCAAAATAAGGTAACAAATGGATATTTCGTGCAATGAAAATTTCATCTGAAGTCCTTTTTTCACAATAATGGGTTCGTTTAGGGATTAAAAAGGAGTTTTATTTCTGTGTTAACATTTTCATAAATATGATTGTATCAATATTTAGCCTCTGTATAATTGGTATACATGTAACAACGCTATATTGTTAATTTATTCATGTTGGTAGTTGTATAATGTGTTTACATGTATTGTATCTGCTGTATCGCGGAAACTTGCCAAAGAGTTATCAATAAACAGTAAAACCTCAAAAATATTGTAGCTTGTACATTATTAATTATGGCGTATAGATTAAATTCTACTTTTAGCTAGCATTGATGATTTAGAATTTGAAATACTATACACTAATTTCTTGTTTAAAACGTTATCTTGCCCTTGTTTTATTTTGTTTGATTTTTTTTGTGTGTGCGTGTTTTGGTTGCTATCTCATTGAAGAGGGTATGAATGGAGTTTATAGAATAGAGAATCATGGCAAAATATTTTGGGTTGCAAAAGAATAAAGAGTAAAGTTACAGTGAAAAAAAAAGAATTGGGTAATAAAAACTGGTTACAGAAATGAACCATATACAGAATAAAGAAATCATCTAATAACAAATAAATCTAATAGTAAAATGATTTTCATGAAAATTTAACAGAATCAGCGTTAATTTTAAAGATAAAGAAAATTGCAACAAAACATTAAAGACTACAGAAATGAACATGATGAAGCACCTTCATTGAAATATATCCAGTCCCTTTTTTATTTCTTCTACGCCAGAGATTTACTCCCCAAAAAGATTGATGATTATTTTATAATTAACCATATGCAGTTCGAGGAAACATTTGCAACACGCTTGAGAAATAATTTACAAAACATTTGAGATCAATTCCAGTTTCAAATCCTGAATACCTCTTTTCACAAGTCTCAAATTTTACATGATTTATAGAGGATTGAAGATTTACTAAAAGTAGATAAATAAAAACCAAAAGTTATTTTCAAATCAAGTGTAACCGAACATCCATACCTAGAAATTGGTATTTATATTTGTCGAATATTGAAAGTATATAATGAGATGATATATGTAAGTGTTGTATTAATTTGTTCATAATGATAATTTTGTAGATAAACGTCATACCTTATGACAATCACATCTACCTGAGACAACTATTACACATTGTAAGTCCCGCTATGAGGTTATTTGTCAACTATTACGTACTAAATATAGAAATCTACAAGGAATATTTCAATCATTTAAGTACCCTCTTAATCCGATCATGCAGTCTTTCAAAATTAATTTTTGATACATTATACAATTCACCTCGATAGCGTGTACATTATTAATCATAGCGTATCAATAAAATTCTATTCTAAGCTTGCATTTATGATCTTGTTTAAAACGTAGTGTTGATCTTGTCTTTATTTATTTGTTGTGTGCATGTGTGTGTATGAGTGCTTTGGTTGCTATCTCAATGAAGAGTGTATATGAATGGAGTTTACAAAATAGTGAATAATGGCCAAAAAAATTAATGGATAGAGAAAAATGAGCAAAAATGAATAAAGATTAGATAATATTGGGGAGCAAAAGAATAAAGAATAACTTGGAAAAATAAAAGAATTAGATATTACGATACTGATTACAGAAATGAATCATGTACAGAATAAAGAAATCATGTGATAACCATGATAACAAATAAATCTAATTGAGAATTTGACAGAATGAGCGTTATTTTTTAAACATAAAGAACAATGTAACAAAAAATTAAAGACTACAAAAATTTACATGATGAAGGATCCCCCATCCAAATCCTCGCCCGAAATTTACTCCTCAAAAAGGTTGATGATTGTTTTGAAGCTCGAGGAATAATTTACATAACATTTGAGATCAATTTCAATTTCAAGTCCCGAATACCTCTTTTTCACCAGTCTCAAATTTCACATGATTGATAAAGGATTGAAGAGTTATTAAAAATAGATAAATAAAAACCAAAACTTATTTTTAATTCAGGAAACAAAGTGTAACCGAACATCCTTCCCTACACATTGGTAATTCTCAATGTTGGAAATTGAAAGTATAAAATGAGTTGATATATGTAAGTACTGTATTAATTTGTTCAAAATGAGAATTTCGTAAATAAACGTCATACCTTATGGCATTTATATCTACCTGAGACAACGTTAACACAATGTTACTCCCGCTATATGGGTATTTGTCAACTGTTACGTACTAAAAATAGAAATCCACAAGAAATATCTCAATCTTGTTAGTACATCTTGTTATTTATTATATTTAAGGAACGAGATCCTTATTATTATGGTAGCTTGTTTCTAGTACGTTACAACACTATCAATAAGTTTATTAATCATGTTTATTTGTAACGCAACGAGTAAATATGTCACAATACTGTTTATATCCGTATGCATACCTGCTCACCAACAAAAAAACATAAAAATGTGTTTCCAGTCATTATTTATGTATAACATTCACCTTCTTGTAACAGGCTGTTTATATGAGTAAGAGAATAGTGTTTTGGAACCTATTTTAAATGCGTCAAAAACTGTATGAGTATCAGTGCAAACCTTCTCTAATCATATTCGTATCTAGATTCTAGGCATTCTAATATTATAGTTTATTCTCAAATAAAATGCAACATTCATAACTGCACGAGCTCCCCATGATAATGTCATAACAATGCAGCCAAACTCTCCCTTTGGTATCTTCCGCGTCTCTTTTTTATGTATTGCGATATCTCATATACACTGTTTGTCACATAATACAATCAATGTATTTAGGACAGGATAAAAACAGTGAAACAATTATACTACTTTAACATTTCGTCTAACATTTAGACATTTATAAATATAATTACATATATATTTCTGTACAGACATATTCTCATTAGTAATATCTGTCCACATTTTTGAGGGTAAGAAAAATAATGAAATATAGTTTACTCTTTGTATAACATCTCTTTATCATCCTTTTATGTTAGACAACTAATTATAAAATCAAATTCATCTTCAACCAAATTTAGAGTTCATTTCTTACAAAGTCTATGACATCTTTCTATATACATGTATGAAGTCTTATTTCTGTCTTCTTTTTTTTTTAGTTTATGCGAAAAGTCGGGTCTGGCGGTCGGAAAACAAAATCTTACAAGACAGAAATATGACTATATAAATTTGATAAATATTTCATTTTACTTGTTTGGTATGCTTTTTCTCAATTTTTAGTTCAAAACATGCATACCATCATCACATGCGTTTGTAAAAAGGGGGTATGCTACTCATTGTTTTTTTATCAACTTTCAGGAAAAATAGTGAATAATAAGTTTGAAGCACGAAAACCCGTGAAATAAAAGTTGCAAACACATCGCACGAACATAAAATCCGTGTCATAAACGAAGTAGACCCGTCCAATGGGAAAACGATGATATCGGTTTCATCCTTTGGCAGGCAATCTCACTTTTGATATCCAAATGGACGAACATTTTTTTTCAATCTATTAACAAGAACATTTAAATTGTTTTTGGATATCTGTTACTTTCCAATTGACGTATTTCACGTTTGGACGGATCCATTTCATCTATGAGATGAAGAATTATAAAAAAAAAAAAAAAAAATGAAAACCGAACTTACTGTAACGGGCTTTTAATGTTTCGTTTCGCAAAATTATTGGCGTTAACAGCATTTCGTGACTGTCTATTTTTAGGCACACAAACACTACGGCTTAGTTGTTAGATTTTTGTTCTTTAAGAAATGTTTTAACATGCTAATATAATGTATTTAACTTCAGGAAAAAGTTGCTACACAGATATTTTTATTTATATTTCAAGGGCAATGTATTTGTTAGGGTCGGCGGGAACAAAACAAAATGAAATGTTTCTTTCTGAAAATCGAAAAAATAGTGTCGGTGGATCCGTAAACCAACAAATTAAAAAAACCCTGACCTTGACTTAATTTTATTTGAGAGTTAAGCGCTTTGGTCAATGATGTGTTAAACATATTTATGTTAACGGGTTGGTACCGTCGCTGTTAAACCTTTACCCAATGTCCATTAATTCCAATATCCGTTAGTCAGTTCATCGCCACTGACATGATTTATATAGTTCATTTCTTATATTTTCGCTGATGAATATAGACATTTATCCGAAACCAAGGTTCCAAATCCTAAGACAAAGTTACCTTAAATAGTATTCTTTGTTTGCCATTTAAGTCATTATGTATCTTTACATTCTTGTCCTTTAGAGTTTTGGTTCGAACATTCCCAGAGAGTCCAGAAAAACGACTCGGAAGTATTATATTATTTTTCAAGTACTTATATACCACTACACTACAAGGGCAATTTGAAGTAAATTAAGTTCAAAGTCATTTGAAACGAGTTTCTGGGTATAATAATTTTAAAGAACATGTTTGAAACAATGCATGCATATGTTCTAAACTAAGTCATATCTGAATGTTTTGTGTTCATTTACTACGAGTTCATAACGTAAAATAGGTAGCTAAAAGACGAAATATTTCTCTAACAGTCAGAACAATTTTTGAGATTTGTATCTCCTTTTCACAAAATTCGTTAAGAAATGGTCACCTTTATTATTCATTAAAAGAGTAAATTAATATATAAAATGTACCGGTTGTGTTTAAAATATAATTCTATATTATCCTACACGAATCATAAATAATACATACGACCCTATACATGTTTTGGTTCTATATATATCGTGTATTTCCCACTTCAGCATCGGAATCGATAGAAATCCGGGATCTATCTTTTTTCCTATTTCCAGGAAAGCACATTTTATAGGCCTTGTGTTAGAATGCATAATTTTCCTATCTTATTCACAGGTCAAATTTCTAAGGAAACTTCAAGTTCGCATTCGAAATAAATGTGTATTTTCAGTGGGAATAAAATTTAGTTTACAACATATATTTCGTCACAACGACTACATCCTAATAAGTACAACCTAAGTGGCCATTTACCCTGTGAAAAAATGAACAAGAATTTCAAATGAATTTTGAGTTTTAATTACGCTGGTTCTTCGGAATAAAATAGTTTGTATATATAACGAAATTTAATATTATTTTTTCATTTTCTTTTCAATATTTTATCAAAATTAAAAAAAAAAAAAGTTTTCACAGGAAATAAAATAGACGAATCAATATCAAACAGTAACAATAAATAGTAATAGTTTGACGCACTTTTAAAACAAAACTGATATTTAAGGTATAAATGTTAGCCTTAATCACTCAGAACGCAAACTAGTTGCCATAAAATTTTTTTTATCCATAAAGTTAACCGATTTAATCGAATGCTGTTGTTTCCCAAAAATATAATTTACACATTCTGCACGAAAAGCCATTGCACGTCTTTCTAAAAGTCACATGCGTCGTTTGCTTACATATCACTACACAGAGGGTGACCTAGGGGTCCCTGTGTAAATATATACTACAAGGACCCCCAGAATGATAGGGTCCATAAATTAATTATACATGCATGGAAGAGTCTAACATAGGGTATATGGAAGAGTCCAATATAGAGAATTCTGAGTTTTAACTATGGAAGTGTCCAAAATCAAGAATGAGTCAGGGATCCTTAAGTTTAAAAAAACTATTATATAGACGTTATCCTTACATCAGTACAAGTTATATGGACGGTGTCCTTATCATCTAATATACGTTTATCAAATCATTACGGGGTCCTTTTTATATAGTGTTTAATATAGAGAAGAATCAAATGAAAAATAAATCAAGTAGGCATGACGCACAGAAAGGGGTCTTTTGATAAATAAAAAAGAAAAAAAAAACATGAAATTGAAAGTTAAAAAAAAAAAAAAAATAAAGAACAAAAACAAAAACAAATTAGAAAAAAAAACCCAATCAAAAAGTTCAAGCACTGGGTATTTCTGTTTTCTTCAAACTGAAATGATACAATAAAAAACAACAAGTTCACTCATAGGTTTTTCTTCTTTATTTGAATGTACATTGGGTTATAAGTGCGTATTGTTTGCACAAAAACAGTAATTTGTTTTAGTACTTATTAAAACCATGTTCTTCTTAACATTCTTTACAAGCAAGTCTTTCACGTTCATATGGGTGTGATTTTGAATAAATGTAGGCCTTATCAAATTCAGGTACAAATTCTCGTATTATATCCATTACATCACACATTTGAAATGGTTGAGAGCGATGCCTTCCCTAGTTGGTGCAAGTTTAACGGGATTTTCTGGTTATTAAAACGTCTAATGTATACCGTGGGGTATATGGAGCTGATGGTGACTTGAATGCCTCCCCCTAAAAGCATGATATATTCATTCTGTTACAGTTTGGACTGTTATGTCAATATGTTTGTCGTATTAACGGATGGGAAAATCGTTTGACCTTTAATTTATTTATCTACAATATGATAGCAGTCTTCTTGTAGATGAATACTATATCGACTATCGTTATATGATTTCATTATATCATCTTCCATTTCATCTGTTCTCTTCGCAAGACACTGCAACATTTTCGATTGCCCAGATTTAATGAAAGCGACCTTTAAATGTTGAATGATACATTCGGTCTTTAGTAAATTGACTAATAGTTCCCACTTTTTTTCTTCTTTTTCATTGGTCATTTGAGTATTCGTAAGCTTTAATCTGCCTATTTTTTTTTATCCTAAGTTTTGAAGATTCTTATTTGATTTAATTTTCTGACATAGAATATACATATAACTTCTTAATGTAGTATTCCAATCTTGTTCTCTCTGTGGAGGTGTTATTGCTTTGCTAGCAATATTGTTTTTTAATTTACACACACGTTATAAAAATGACCTTTTTTTACGTACTGTAAATTCAGAAATTATTGCGAGGTTTTTATTAATGCGAATAAAGTAACTGAATTAGTATCGTAATAATAAAAATTCGTATTCTGATATCGCACATAATTGTATGCAGATTTTCCTGAAATCGCAATAATTAATCTCGCAGTAGTCGCAAACAACCACAATGATATTCGTTTATCATATCCCATTACAACACGAGTTGCATGATTTCACATCTTTTTATGCTGTAAAAGCGTAACAGTCTATTAATATCACATTAAACCCTAAATTAGACAATTCTCACAACTGTCTTGTCCGTTCTTCCATATTGACAACATCAGTATTAGGGATTATTTTACATGATTAAAATTTGACATTTAAATTCCATCTGTGTCAATTTAGAAAGGAAGGGTATAAATCTTCACAATCAGTGATTCTTTTGTTAGGATACATCATTAGTACAATATGATTTAAAATAACCCAACATGGTTACTATTGAACCTCCATAGTTTGAACACAATTCTTATTCAATAAAGTATCATTTTTTAAATGATGCTGCCTTCATAACATAAACCCCTAAGGTATATTTGCTTCTTGACACAAGGTCATCGCCATTGTTATTATTTTCTGCATACGAATCCTAAAATACATAAAGAACACCATCGTACTACAATGTGTTCATTAGACACTTCTTTTTTATCAAACCCCTAAAGATAAGGGTGTCTCAATTAACATATAGTAATTTGTTATCTTAACAAAATATGTCAACGTATAAAATTCTCAGTGTGAATTTGATTCAACCGTACCATTCTTTTAAATGCCTTTCATATATCAGTCGAACTCCCCGCTATGCATAATGATTATTTGACTCTTCCTGTATGTACTTTGTCATGTATGTGAATCTTTTATATGTTAAACACTGCCGTATGAATGTTTGGACACTATCATTTATTTTGTTTAATTATTCCGATTGTCCATATGGACACCCTGATATCGAACTAGATTCAAATACTTGTTACAACATCTATATAACTTACAATATGGTATTATATACACGGTGTACTAAAATCATAGCATATTGTAATGACGGTGTCCTTAAATCATTGATGGCTAAATATGATATTTAGTGTTTTCACTTCAGCGTCCCTGCCTCATTCTTGAATTTACTCTCTTCCATAGTTAAAACATTCAGTGTCCCTGTGTGTTGCACGTATGGTCCCTGACATATTCTCCAATTTGGACCCTCTAACATGAACACTTCCATAGCCTTACACATGAACCCTGACTTTAACATGAACCCCTCAATAGTTTGAACCCCTCAATAGAACCCCCACCATTAGCCTAATAGAGTCAGTGCATAGCCTAACACATGGACCCCTGTACCCTGCCATAGCCTAACAGACCCTATCATTCTGGGGGGTCCTTATCGTATATAGTAGCTCTTCTATATATTACATATTAATACAGGAACCACCAACTCACGGTTATTTTATGTTTGACCAAAATTGTTAGCCTTGCAGGTTTTTGTACTGGGTATGTTTCTATTTCTCTAAATTTATTTTAAACTTGGCCTTTGTCATTTTTGTATTTCCCTTCATTTTTGAAACCAATAAATGCATCTGTTTGTGCATAATTTTTCAATAATGATCATGATGTAACATATTTTTACTTTTCTTTCTTTGTCATGTGTTTTTTTAATTAATTATTCATCCATACCCTCCTTTCAAAATACCTTTCATATATCAATAGACCCCCTTCTGTGCGTCATGTCTACTTGACTCTTCCTGTATGTAATTTTTTATTTGATTCTTCTCTTTATTAAATACTATATCCCGTAATGATTTGATAAACATATATTAGATGATAAGGACACCGTCCATATAACTTGTACTGATGTAAGGATAACGTTTATATAATAATTTTTTTTAAACTTAAGGGTCCCTGACTCATTCTTGATTTTGGACCCTTCCATAGTTAAAACTCAGAATACTCTATATTGGACTCTTTCATATACTCTATATTAGACTCTTCCATATACTCTATATTAGACTCTTCCATGTATATATAATTTATTTATGGACCCTATCATTCTGGGGGTCCTTATAGTATATATTTATACAGGGACCCATAGGTCACCCTCTATGTAGTAATATCTCTACCAATAGACAAAAAAAAAAAAAAAAAAAAAAGAAAATCAAGCAAGAAATAATTTGAATGTGAGATTTTTTCGAACCGGAAGATTTATATGGATTAATATAATTCTGTTTGTGTCACTCTCGCAGTAAACGGTAAAGTGAATGTCTTAGATAGATATACTTTCTTACGTGTAATATCGACAATATTCACTAAAATCATAAGTTCATCATACAGAATATACTGTATTTAGCGATTTAAGGGTTATGAGGCTTCAAAAATGGTCCAGGATTCTCCTTATACAATATAACATTCTTTTGCAAAACAGGCAGCATTTATATAAGAACGAAAAAAACGCCCGTACGTAGCTCGCAATGAGATACGATATGGAAAATCCAGAAAACAGAACTAAAGAGTGATTCCGTGAACAGTTGCAGAAATTGGGAATAAACATTCCAAAAAGTTGCTCAAATACACAAAGATGTCATGTTGTAATGTAGCGAAGTCAGTCTTTCAAGTCAATCCACGTAAATGCAAGTGATTGTTTAAGGGCTTATGTAAAAATAGATATAGCTATCTGCATCATTTAAAAATAGAATAAAATCATAGACTTTAATTTTATAAATATGATATATAGGATGCATTAAAAAATTGTCCTTATAAACATTAAAAGTGGATATATGTTTTTTTCCTATTGAGTATCATTGTATTCTTTATTTTAGGCTGGCCTTTGGATGTCGTTCAAGTCGAAAAATGTTCGACACCGTGTTTCAAGCAGTGTACCAAATTGCAGAGAATAACTTTAAGCTAAAGCGTATTTTGCATCTACTAGGAAATTATCTAACAATGACCATCCTGCATGTGATAAAGAGATGTCAATGACAAAAATATTGATAATATTCAAATGTTATAATATCCCCATAGGCAGTCACAATTCTAGATTCTAATTAAATGAAAGCATGGTTTTCTAATGTGAATTGTCGAAGGCCATGCTTTTATTTCTAAAAATGTTATACACGTCATCCTGTTAAAAAAGAAACGTTTTACTGTAACTGGCATATTTAATATTTGAAACTAGGATTTTTTTAAGCAACAAAGGTCTTTTGTTTTTATTTAATTAGAGATACATATTTTAAGTCACCACTCAGCCTTCAATAACGCTTTGGGGGAATCACAATGTTTCCTTAGAAATAAATAAATAATAAAACTCTGTTTTTACTTTATTGACCTGTAAAATGTGTAATTTCAATAGGAGGGTATAACAAATTATCAATCTCAACGTCAAGTTTGCATGCTTAGTGATTGTGTCTGTTTTTCATACATATCTCTTTATACCAAATTGCAGAGAATAACTTTAAGGTAAAGCGTATTTTGCATCTACTAGGAGATTTTCTAACAATGACCATCCTGTATATGATAGAGAGATGTCAATGTACCGTTCGTTCACCGAAGAAGACAGCTGTTAGGTAATATAAAGTTATAATTAATATCTGACAAGGAAATCAAACAAATACTGTCATAAGGTGCCCGATATTCTAACTGCAAAATACAGAATTAATACAGACGTCGAGACAACAAAAAATCAACATAAAGATAATTTTAGTAGGACAATTAACCCGAATTAACTATAACACCATATCAATGATCAATAAATAAGTTGTCCGAAAGCTAACAAATGAAGTTTTCACATATTAAGAGAAGTTATTTTATTGAAAAGTACTCCATATATATCTGTTATCTGTACACCTAACAGTTGTTATATAATGAGGACATTTGTATATTTGTGGAAAAAATGCGATACTGATAAGTTAACGTAAATTAATACTTGCATTGCTTGGTCAGTGGAAAATTCAATGATTAAGTAATTCATTATCATATCAGATTTGGCACTTCATTTGGCAGATTTCCTATACACCTAATTTAACCTTTATGCAATCTTGAAATTATGAATTGGTTTTGTTTCTGTTTCATAAAATAGTAAATATTATCTTGTTTTGGTTAATCTGGCCGTTTCGGAATTATATTTTTTGTCCTCACTTGGCGTTTGTTGTCACCATTGACCCTCGTTCTTGCTACAAGTTCTCTATAAGCTTTTCACATTTTATTTTCTTAATTCTTTGAAATCACTTTATATTTAATTATTATTATTTATATAGTAATGTAAGTAAAGACAATTTGTGACTGTGCTTGACAATTTTCAAAAATTATCTCCTCTGAAGTGAGGTATGTTTTAATATTTTATATCTATGATAAAAAGTCCAACTAAAAATAAAAACCAAACAAACAAACAAAAAACAAAAAACAAAAAAAAAACAAAGAACAAACCTAATTTGTTTTTGTTATTGTGCAATTGTAACGGTGGTAAAACAAAGGTCAGATTGAAGACCTATAGGAAATCATAATTCCTTCCAGAGTTGCATTGCAAAGAAAGTTAAAAATTTAGAATTTATGTGACGAGAGATCTCTATGGTCGATCAGACGACACATATAGCCACAACACGCAACCTTTCAATATGATTTGCTTTATATCGTCAGCTGATTCATTTAAAAAGCTTTCATAGAAGAGGATAAGTAAAAAAAAATAATAATGTAACTGGAACATTAGTTCATTTCAACATAAACAGTCTAATGCTCCATAATATTATTGCAGACGTCACACTTAAGATGTAAACATACATTCCGTCCCGTGTGCACTGTCGTTTTATTGTTTTGTTTATTTTATAGGAAAACTTGATAAAGAAATGAGCGACATATCATCAAAGAAATTTCTTCAGTTGATAAAGGTGTCATTTGATGTTTCAACAAGTGTTGTTCGTAGTTTTGCAGACTGCAAAGTAATAGGCTTGTCTAAATATAGTGGTAGCTTTATCAAGTTCCTTGACTTACGAAAACACGATATATACCACAAATGGTAGCCTAATACCCCTTGCTGCCATTGTGGAACTAATTTTTCGCGGCGTCCAAAAGAAATAGAAAACTGGCGTTTTGATTTGCTATATCAAACTATTTCTGATCGTCAGGTCGTATGTGTTAAAGGAAAAGGTCCATTAAAGATCAACGGATGCGTACAGCATTATTGCATATGCAACATCATCCCACAACAAAGCATTTCGCTAAATGAGATGGATATATCAATGATTTCATTTCTTCTGCGAGATTGTAACATCACACCATCGCAGCTGGAAAATATACAAAATCTTAATAAGCAGAGATGTAGGCTTTGTCATGCATATAGTACGCATTGCCTTACCAATGATGAATATGATGATATATGGACAAATCTTGAAAATGCAACACTAGAATTGGCTAAAGATGTTAATCATTATTACCATTCAGCCATCACGAACCATCTATTGACGCTAAAATCACACGACGTTACAACGAAAGAACAAAAAATTTTGCAAAAAAGGTATGGATTAATAGAATTGATTTTGTGCATAAAAGATTTTTTTTTTGTCATAAGTTTCCCGAAGAAGAAAAAGTTGACTTTGTTTTATATCCTTTGTCAGTTTTCAAAGTATAATAGTAACGGATTACACATCGTGTCAATGATTAAGGTAACAAAAAGAGGTGATAGTAAAAACGTTTTTGACACTAGTTCAACAATACTGACATCGACATCAAGTTAGAAATTCTAAAATACTGAATTTAATCATTCAATGCGTATTTAATAGCTATTTGATTCATGTAACAAATTTGGTATGCCATTTTTTTCTAGTATTTGTTTTACTCTTAGATTAAATAACAGAAATAAAAAAAAATCTATTTGACTTTTGTTAGTTTTTATAGACTTCCTCTTTTGGAATTTTCCTTGGAGTTCAGTACTTTTGTCAAACTTTATAATCGCTAAAAACGTTAATTAAAAAAAGAATAATAGCTCCTACAGGCTTCACGACTGCTGAATTGAATAATGTGTTAAATATTTTCATTCTGTTTAAAATTCATCAAATAAACTCCAAATTATGAGTTGAAAGATATAAGAAGATGTGGTATGAGTGCCAATGAGACAACTCTCCATCCAAGTCACAATATGTAAAAGTTAACCATTGTAGGTCAAAGTACGGTCTTCAACGCAGAGCCTTGGCTTATACCGAACAACAAGCTATAAAGGGCCTCCAAAAATGACTAGTGTAAAACCATTTAAACAGGAAAACCAACGGTCTAATTTATATAAAAAAACGAGAAACGAGAAACACTTATGCACCACATCAACAAACGACAACCACTGAACATCAGGTTCCTAACTTAGGACAGGTGTAAACAAATGCAGCGGGTTTAAACGTTTTAATAAGTATCAATCTGCACCCTTACCTGAAACAATAGTGTAACACCACAACATAGAAAGACACACTATAAAGTATCAATTAAGACAATATTTGGAAATATTTAATTATCGATCTTTGGTATCATTATGCAACGATGTGGTCTCTTCTCTGGCTTACTGCATCATTAATCTGTAAGTTCACCATTTTCTAATTTCATGGATATATAATTTAGCTGTGTGATCGAGTGGTGCACTAAATTAATTTGTATGTGTTCCGCTAGTCTATTAGTCCATTTTGATTTCGATCAGGAAGTTGTCTGTTTTCTTGTACTGTGCAAATGTTGTTTTTATTGGTATTTTTATTGATTTTGTTATCAGTAAATTAAAAGCCACCTACATATTATTATTGTTATATACATTTGCACATTCATAGCTCTACAACCTGTCGATACCTGTATCTTGGCATTGCACAAGGTCATGTTTTTCTCTGACTGTATATGACGTCTTTATACTAAATCCATTGAATGTTGGATTTGAACTGATTGATAATTTTGTCTTAGATGCATAATTTTTTTATAAGTTGTTATTGGCTTTGAACTAGCTGTCAGTAAACGCGAGTACTCTCATATCTGTATTTAGTGTCTCTTTTAGTTGTTAGAATGTACAAATACCCGTCCACGTTTACTCTGTGGTTTTGCTAGATATATTTCTATTTGTATCTATCTAATGAGTTAAGCCTTTTTATAGTTTGTTATTACGTTAAACTGTTACACCACTCTCCTAGGTGGAGTGTGGGGGGGGGGGGGGGGGGGTGGTTTGGGGGGGATTTATGCCCGCTTACACGTTTAACCCCACCACATTTCTGTGTGTGTGTGTCAAAAGTCAGTGGTTGTCGTTTGTTGCTGTGTGACTTATTTGTTTTTCGTTAATTTTTTTGGACATGAATTAGGGCGTTAGTTTTCTCTATTGAATTGTTTTACATTTGTCATTTCTGGGCCTTTTATAGCAGACTATGCGGTGTATGCTTTACTCATTGTTGAAGGCCGTACTGTGACCTATAGTTATTGATCTTTTTTTTCTCTTGTAGAGAGAGTAGTCTAATTGGCAATCATACCACATCTTCTTTTTCATATAAATGATAATGACACAAATAATGTACACGATGTACACAGATCTGAGTTTTGTAAACAGTTTATGGCGTTTGTTGAGTTTCCATAAAATTCCGAAAGAACATTACCACACGGACAAGCAATGTATGGTGATGTGCTCATCCATGACAGAATATCATCATGATCATATCTTGTTGGGTGTCTATATTATGTTCTAAAGTTTCATTAATGAGCTTAACCTTACATTAACATAACGTTTTGAAGGTAATAGATGCAAAACACATTTGAATACTTTCCTTTCTCACAGTCGGTATTAGTGTCTATTCTGTGATTTAGATATTTTTCGTAAAAACTGAAATAAAAATGTGTTTCTCTCTCCCAACTTCTATTTAGACTACTTAGAAGCTGTTAAAAAAAACTTTAAAAAAAAATTTTAAATTTAGATTTCTGCCATCTTCCATTAAAATGTTTGAAGTCCGATCTGGCCTCTTTCAGATACTGTCGATTTCTATTAGATTTCACGACACTTATTTAATGTTTTGATTCTGATTTTTTAATTGAGGTACAGGTTCCATCCAAAAGTTTTGGCTACCTTCGCATTGTGTCTACTAGTGCAACAAATTAAAGACTTTTCTTAACTAAGAACGTATTTGATTTTTTGTTCTGAAAAACGGAATTAGGAATCAGTAGTGTGTTGTTGGTCTTATGGGTTGTATGGCCGAATAGTTTGGTAATTCTTGTTTACCTTTTTATGTGTTAATGTAGTGCAAAAAGATGTCAGAATAAACTTGCAACAACTTTGGCCATGAAGGTAAGAGCAATGTGTGGTAACATAAATACCTATCTTATAATTGATGACGGAATATTACGATGCCGGAGAACAGACCTATGACCCTTCGTTCGTCTTCCGTAATATACATGATAAAAGGGATTTCCTATAGTATATTTGCCAGGAAATTAAAATAACCACCAACAAATTGAATAGACTGAATTTCTGAACAAGAAACAGTTTTATGGAAGGAGCAAAACAAATGTGTGCTGCAATTAGAAAGGAAAAAATCATGATGAGGTCACATGTAACCTTACTTTGTTATTGTATCTGGTTTGATACAATGTGTGTTGACAAATTGTTGTGTTATGTTTCCTGACATGATTTTACTTAAAAAAAAAGTGAATTGTAAGACCGAATTCATATTTATAGTTTCATGTGATTTGAAAACTTGACATTTTGAGTTTAGTAAAAAGTAGTCGTATTGAGAAATTGTTGAGGAAATGTCTTCCATATACAATGATATAGTTGTTATAAGAACATCTACCATTTTTTAATACAAATAAGTAAAAATTTGTGATAAAACAAATTATAGAAAAGTAAGAATTTTTCAAAATTGAAATCAATCAAACTGTGATAAGATTTGTGACTGAGACCATCGACTTTAATTAAAAATGAGTGTGATCTTTTCTTGACCGTTTACCTAGCTACCTAGTGCTTTTTATGCCCGTAGGCACATAGGACAAGGACTCGTCTCTGTTCTGTGCTTTCTTTTTTACTTCGCCCCAGCTGATTCCGTGTTCTTTTATTTCAGCTTCAACTGTTCTTCTCTAATTTGTTTTGGGGCGTCCTTTCCTTCTTTTTCCCTCAAGTGTCCATCTTAGGGCGACTCTGGTCAAGTCCTCGTCTGGTCTTCTTAGAACATGGCCAATCCATCTCCATCTTTTTTGCTTAAGTAGAGTCTCCATATTGTTGGATCCTGTTGTTTCATGGAGGTTTTTGTTGATCTTTCTGAGGCAACCGTTATGAAAACTGGAGAGCTTGTTGATGTCATTTTCTGTCATTCTCCAGCAGTCTGCCCCATATAGCAGCACTGCTAGTACACAACTGTTGTATAGTCTAATTTCGGTGTTTTTACTGATGGTGGTTGACCTCTAGATGTGACGTAGCTTAAAAAATGCAGTTCTTGCTTTTTTTATTCTGGCTCTGATGTCTTTGTCAGCTCCTCCTTCAGATATTACTATGCTGCCCAGGTAAGTGAACGATGAAGTGCAATCCAGGTGTGTCCCATTTAATTCAAGTACAGGAGGCTCTGAGATGTTAAGAGGCATAACTTCTGATTTCTTGATGTTGATATTCAATCCAATCATACTCGCATTCTTTTGTAACTTAGTGATTTTGTCTTGCATGTGTGTTTCTAGATGTGACAGCAAGACCAGATCATCTGCATAGTCCAGATCTTCTATGTAGTTAAAGAGAGTCCACCTGATGCCTGTGTTTTACTGCTTATGGTGGATATCATTACCCAATCGACAACTATAATGAAAAGAAGGGAATACATAATACAACCTTGTGTAACTCCTAACTTTACAAGAAAAGTGATGTCCGATGAAGTACCTACAGTGCATCTGAATTCTGTATAAAACATTCGGAAGAGTTTTACTATTTTTGATGGTATTCCATAGCTTTGTAAGATCTTCCATAAGCTTTCTCTGTGTTTACTGTCAAAAGCTTTTTCAAAGTCTATGAAGTTTATCATCAGTTGTCTCTGCCATTCTGTGCACTGCTCGATAATGTTTTGTATCACAAATATGTGGTCACAACAACTCTTTCCTCTTCTAAAACCTGCCAGTTCTTTTCTGAGTTTGTTGTCAATGGCTGTTTTAATATATCTATTGATATTTTGCTAAAAATTTTACTTGGGATTGGTAATAAGGTGATTCCTCTCCAGTTATTGCAGTTTGTGAGATCGTCTTTCTTATCCAGTCTTATGATGTCTCCTTCTGACCAGTTTTTAGGTATCTTGCTGTTGTTTTTAATGCCCTTAACTGCTCTAATAATCTCTGATTTTGATGGAATTTCCGTGTTTACTTCAAGATCGTGTTCTGCGATGGGTATGTTTGCTGTTGTTTCTGGTTCTGGCCTATTTAATACTTCATTGAAATGTTCATTCCATCTACTCTCTTGTTCTCTTTTAGATGTTATAAGTTGACCATGTTTGTCTTTTACTGGCATGTTGTTGTTTCTTTTGTGGCCACACAGTTTCTTTGTGATTTGAAAAAACATCTTCCATTCTTTGTTCTGAAGCAGCTTTTTCAGCTTGTATAACCATCCCTTCAATGAAATATTTTCATCTTTTCTAGTGGCTTTCTTAACTTCATTATTGCAGTTGGAGTATTGACCTATTAATAATTAATTCTGAACCGTGAAAAAAAAACCTAATTCTAAATGAGTAAAAGTTTGGAAATATGGTTATATGCTAAGATCTAATAAACATACGTGTGCATTAAATGCTACTTTGTAACTTTAAGTGTAACACCCAAGAACAATTGACATGTACATTTTGGCCCTCAGATTTTGTCGTTATGAATAAAGTGAGATTCAGCATACCAGCCTTTTTATACATGTATACCACCATTACAACTCTTGGTAAATAGACGTCGAGTTTTGAACTTAACCGTTGATCATCGAAATTAATGTTCTGAATGTCCTGCTGCACTTCAAGATCATATTTAATTTGATTAAAATAATGTTGATTTCAGGTATTACATGAATTGTCTTTCATGCAGAAAGAAAGCAATGGTATAATGAAAAATGGATTTTCAAAATTCGAAAGCAAAATCTTCGAAGCTTAAGAAGAAATAAATCTGAACACCAATAGGAAAATAGGTATGCTAATATATAACTATACATGTGACTGATATATTTGTGATGAACTTTTATTACTACATGTGTTTAACAATTTCATTTGTATAATGTTAAAAAAATAGATCCATTTATACATGTTATAATAAGTGAAATTTTTATAAAAGGTACTAACCCAAATAATTGTTCCAAATTACAATCCCTTTTTATTATTTACAAGGTGTCCTCAGTAAATTAAAAACCTACATCTATATCTTCACCCAAAAATTTGCTCAAATATTGTGTATCTTTGAATGGTCTTTTTACTTTTTATCAGACACAGTAAGCAGTATCGTAGCCAGATAAGATCAATACAAGGCCAAATTAGCCTGAGGGAGTTGTAATCTTAGTTTCTTTAGAATTTAAAAATTTCTAAACGGACAATTTCAGAAAGTCTTGATACAAATCATATCATTACCGTAATACTGAATTTTGAGCTGATGATACCCTCGGGGACTAACAGTCCAGCAGCATAGATATCGATCCAATGCTGTAAAAATGAAAACAACATTTTTTTAATTTCATGCGTCTAAACTGCTTTTCTGGATTAAGCTTCGCTAGGAACGCTCAAGGTCGAATATTTGATAAATTGGAAATTTCACCCTCATTTTGATATCGAGATAGGCTTTATAAAACAAAAGATTTTTTCAGACAAGATGCATTTTATAAAGATTCGTTATATTTCAAATATCGTTTTTTGGGTAAGGCCAAGTTCCATAATTACTTTTTCAAAACCAAGGTTCAGGAAGTCATTTTACATGTTTATGACTTCACAGTGATATCACAAGTACCCTTTCTGCTGTTAAGTTTCCAGATTATATGAACGGATTCAATTAAAATTCTTTTGTATACCCAGGCATAGACGACCTAACTAAGCCTTATTTGCCACAGTTTTGTTTTAATTTTTAATTTATTTTTGAATATCAATGCTCTTCAATTTCATACATTTGTACATGGACCTGATTTAGCTATTAACTTTTTTTATTCGAAAGGCAGTGTTTTAGACGAGTAATGTATCTTTGTTGCGATTCCAACATATAGTATACTGGTGACAACAATTTCAACAAATATATTTGACAAAAGCACATACGCGAATACCTCGATTTATATTCTTCTTATCTAATCAATACAAAACGCGATATCGCAGTCTCTCTCCCTAGACGCATCTGCATAATTGTCAAAGATGAGAAAGAGAAGCGAAAGATACCAGAAAAAAATATATTTTTAAAAATATATAAGCCCTAACTTAAGCATATTTTTTTTTATATTTCCCCACTGTTGTAATAGCGTAACGTAACATTATCATTAACAATTTCTCATATAAAAAAAACACCAAACAGCTAACGGATTGAATGGCGAAATTACTTCTGTATAAGAGCCTTATACCACACTGAAAATTGTCAATTTGGCATATTCACCAATAGTATTTCAATTTTTTTTTCTAAGCTGAAATGTCAGAACAGATCCTACAGCTGACAACAAAGGTTAATATAATTACAGAACTAATTACAAAAGGAACTGAATCTCCAATTACAGGTGATAACGAACGCACAGGTAAAAATTATATATAGGAAAAGCGTAATACCAAATATTTTAGATCAAAATCTAATGAGCCAGATCTCTGTAATACACTTATTAACCATATTAATCATATATAAAGGTGGAAATTGGTATAATCGTTTTGATAACTAGTATGGTTGTTACATACATTTGAAGTTTAAGCACTGTTTAAATCAAATGTTATTTTATTTTGCAATGCATTTTGAATGAACTGTCAGTTGGAAACTTCAACCACGGATCAAGCATTTTGGATTTGTCATCATTCAGTTATCATGACTGATTTTTACCGAAAGGAAAAGTCAGAAAAATCGAAACTGACCAACAAATTACAAACACAGTTTTTAAACGTAAGGGATATCATGGATAAAGTGGTGTCATTTCGGCTATCTTCTGGGCCAGGAAATTAAATCAAATTAAATGTATGTTTTTTATGTGAAAACAGAAGATGTGTTGATAGATTTTTATTTTTATAAAACTTTCATTTGTCTTCAAAACATCGTATATCATTGGACAAATTGTTGGTGTACAACTGAATAATTAAATATCAATAAAAATGTATTCTGTTGATTCAAGTGAAAAATTTATTTTTTTCCACTGCTTTGAAAAAGTTTGAAATTGAAAATAATCGAAGATTTAAATGAAACTTATGGCGTTTAGAAAAAAGAACAGGCTTCAAACATTGTGATATTGATATTTTTACAATGACAATTTATTTTGTCTATAAAGGAGTTCAATGACGCTATTTTTTTTTTTACTAAAAACTATGTATAGTCAGATATTTATACAAGTATACATTCATCCCTCCCCAATATAAAGGATAATCAATCTTCAGTGACAACTTCTCCGAGGAATTTTGTGAACTAATTTGGAAATATTACTTTCAAATTTTTTTTTTTACCGTTATACATATTTAGAGTGGTCTATCTATAGGTTCATGTCTCCAAGAAATGCAATAAGTCTTTATATATTGACAAATCAGTAATAATTAAGACAAAATGGTATTTATTCACAGCATTTACGAGCATTTTCAATAGTACAGATTTTGGTTGGACTTCTTATATCCAAATGCTGAACTCTTTGTGTTCTCTGTTGTTTTGCATTTTTCTCAGTGATCAGTGTACCTTCAGTTTTTTTTTATTCCATTTCTATTTCTTCCAACTGTATCTGAATATGTGGACAAAGTCCTTTTTAACCTTTAGAAATTGATAAAAAGACAAATCAATATCGTAGTGAATAAAAACTTTCAGTTTAACTTCTGACTTTCCCATTTGCGTAATAATCCAGTCCAAATTTCGTTTTTCTCGGGACAATTAAAACATTATAAACGAATAAAAGATTTAAAAAAAATGTATATATCTGAGTACCTAAAAGTCGGACGGCATGCATAAGACAACACAATTAGAATTCATATAATTTTAATTTGAAAATTTGTCGCGCCTCTGATATATCATAATCAAATTATTTCGGTCATTTCTTTCAAATTGTGTACATTTTGCACCTCCGGATTTAACAGCTTTTTGAATTGCATTTGGTATAGCATATATTGAAGTGAAATCGTTTGAAATTTAAATATGTTCAATGTTTTCAACATATTCAAACGTAATAGTTTTTTTTAAACGTAAAAAAAATAATCAACAAAATGATATATTGCCATGCGGCGCTCCAGATCGCGCTGCTTTTGAAGTTCATGCGATTCTCTCACTTTTTCCTACCTTGATTGGTATCTATTTATATATTTGAACCGTTTTTTTGAAATTTATAAGAATAATTAAGCAACCTATTACGAAGGTAGAACTAATAAAAATATGGATTGATCTAAATCTTTGTCAAAATGCTTATCTTTACAAAGCAAACCAAAACAATTGTTTCTTTGACGCAAATAAAGCATGTTAATTTGAGGAAAGTAATAACTATCCAATGTTCGAGTCATATTGACAGAAATTTCGATTTTCATTTAAAACTTCTTATTGTAAAATTGCCTATCAAAATGTCATTCTTTATATATTAAACAGAAAGTTCAATGCATGGTGTGAATGTTAACAATAGTGACGATCTGTATGTACAACAAGGAGCAAAACCAAAGAAAATGCCAGCAGGTATGCGTGTTCTCAATCTCATTAAGGTTTATATTATCATTTATTTTATACTTCGTTGTAAATACAAGTAGATTGTATGTGTAAACGTTCTGTGTCAGCCCTCCGTGGTGATTTTGATATAAGTCACGGTTACACAGCCTTGATCAAACGACAACAGAAAAACGACTGTTTTTACAGTATATAATAAAATGGATATCATATTCTCAATTCAAACGTCGTGTACGATTGTATGAAAGATTACTAAACAATAACATAATGAACACGAAATAATTTCCGAAGATATGTTTATATTAATATTGAATGTTGTTTTAGGCCATACAAGAACAGTATTTTTGTATAGGCAGGTGCTTATCATAACACTTGAAAATTGAACCTCAGTAAGAAGGATTAAAAAACGTAGTCCTTAAAAGAACGTGATATCACTGGTTACGGTTACGGATAGCCTCATTTTTGTCGTTTGCTAATGAACGGATATTTTTTAAAATTCATAATGAAATCTATGAGTTACTGTGGCCTTAAGTTTATATTGATCTTCAATTACTTGAAAACATGTCCAATAATATATGATATTAATAGCCACTAATGTATAACAGTTATAGATGCCATTTATTTCATGCTATATGATTGAACAAGTAAAATGAGAGAAAAAGTATATGACACAACAAAATTAAACGTTTAAAACAACAACAAAAAAAGACATCTAGATGTTCAATTCATCTAAAATCAAATTTAAAATGAAAGGTATTAACAGAAGTGTCTGTTTATTATAGATATAAGACAAGCTACCTGTCATGTTGAAGGAAAAGAATTAGATGAACATTCAGCTGTGCAGTCTTTGTCAGAGGACAATCATAATCTTTCCTCAGACTTGTGCTTTAACATTATTTCCGCTGAGCAGAAATGCCTCCTTCTTCAGTTGGAGGTATCTTCAAACATATTTGAAGACACAGAATCATTCCGAATGGCTTTGAGGGCATTAATTTTTCAAATTGCTCGTGCAGGAAAAATTAATATCAACAAACCAAGTACAATGACGATGGAGCTGATATTTAAAAATGACCTCACGAAAGGTAATTTAATTGTACTGAGTCCCTAAATGAATCGTGTGTTTTTAATCATTCAAAGCAAGATATACGAAAACAAATTTTCAATATCACCAACGAACCATAGAGTAACGCTATTGACAATAAGCCTGTTAGGAAGCCTCTGCTCAAATTTAAACAATTTTCGACATCGTGAAAAGTTTTGCTGTATCGAAAAATAAGATATCAAACATTCATATTAATAAAGAGTGGAGTAACATCAACAAAATAATATCTGGTCAAAGTGAATTATAAAAAAAAATACCGGTTAACGTTTTCAAAATAATTTTAATTTTAAAGTACAAAGATATAAGAAGATGTGGTATGAGTGCCAATAAGACAACTATCAATCCAAGTCACAATTTGTAAAAGTAAACCATTATAGGTAAAAGTACGACCTTCAACACCGCCTTGATTCACACCGGACAGCAAGCTATAAGGGGCTCCAAAATGACTAGTGTTTAACCATTCAAACAGGAAAACCAACGGTCTAATCTATATAAAAAACGAGAAACGAGAAAAACTTATGAACCACATCAAATAACGACAACCACTGAACATCAGGTTCCTAACTTAGTACAGGTGCAAACAAATGCAGCGGGGTTAAACGTTTTAATAAGCGCCAACCTTCACGCTAACCTGAAACAATAGTGTAACATCACAACAAAGAAAGACACACTATAAAATATCAATTGAAATGGCTTAACTTAATCAAAAGACATATTAACACAAGTGAACATACACTGTTTGAAAAAAATTGATCTATGACACAATGTAAATACAAAATTAAAAAATAAGGGGGTGAGATGTAAAATAATATCAGAAAGACAACTATAACCTTAGAAAAAAATGCCGCCAAAAAAAATAACGTACACAGGCAAATAAAAACATTTTTGTTGTAAGGTATACATGGAGTACGGAAATAAATATTACATGTTCATAGTACGAGAACAGAAGTGAAAATCGTTTGTCATACCAAACACTTATCAAAGGTGGTTTATATTAAAAATAGTGAGAAGAGATATAACACTAAATAAGTAAACATCAAATAACAAAACTGCATTACAAATTGTATCAACAGGTCAAATTAACACGAAAGTACGATTTGAGAATACTAGCAACTACTGAAAGCTAGTTAAAAGCCAAAAACAATTTATAATAAAAAATCATGCACCAGAGACTAAATTCAACTATAACACATCCCAAGGATTTAGTGTTATAACTTCATAGACAGTCAAAGAAGACATAAGCTTGTGCAATGCCAAAATAAAAGTTTCGACAGTCAGTAGGATAGTTAGGAGTTATTCTTTCAATAAATATGTATAATGTTATATATAGATAGAGTAATCTCTATATAGAAAATGAGCGTGGATGTGTATTTATACATCCCAAAAACTGTATGAAAAGAATAAAAATTTAGTTATGTTTTAATTTGCTGACAAAATCGATATTTGTGCTAATATAAACTATATTCAAAGATCTAATTACAACATTGGTAAGATAACCTTTACTAAAGGTTTGTTTAAAAGTTCGATGAATTTATACGGATGACATAGCGATTTCCGCGCTTTTAGTGCACTATTACCGTAAAATTTAGGATGTGAAATACCGTTTTGAATAAGTTTTCTACAGGTACAGCCAAATTGTCTTATCAAATCTTAATATCTATGAAATAATTTAGTAAAAGTTTTAAGTTATTCATGGTAACGAAATCCCTGACTTAATAATTTACCAGTGATGCATTGATAACGTTCGTTAAAATCTTTGACATCACTACACACACGGGCATAACGAACGAGTTGGGATATATAAACACCGTATGATGGAGCCAATTGAACATCGCCGTCTAAAAAAGGAAAATTAACAAAAGGGAATGAAAAATCGTCTCTTTTGTCATAAATTTTAGCATAAAGTTTCCCTTTAGAAATTGAAATGTCTAAATATAAAAGGACAACTACTGCTGTTTATGTTAGATTTATTTCAAATAAGTTCTTTTGGGTAAATTTCGGTAGTATATTTAGAGAACACTGGATTATTTAACGAAAAAATATCATCAAGACAACGGTAGGTATTGTTGAATGTATCAACCAAATGTAACAATGACGTGTCTTTACTGAGTTTGGTCATAAACTGTGATTCATAGCAATACAAGAATATATCTGCTATTAAAGGGGCGCAGTTAGTGCCCATAGGAATACCTATTACCTGTCGATACACTTTATCGCCGAAACGTACATATATGTTGTCCATGAGAAAATTTAAAGCTTCAATCATATCTTCACATTTCTAGTAAGTGTGTCTATCATACTTTCCTTTTTCGTTACAGAAAAAAGGCTTGAAACGAGTAACAACAAATAAATTTGAAATTTTTCAAAAGACCATTTAATTAAATATGAAAACTTTTTCTTGATAAGTTTGTATCGAAGTGTAATGTAGAGAGTAGAAAAATTATAACTGTCAACATCATTAAAAGGACCATCAAAAGCACGTACTTTATCTAAAACCTCTAAAGAATTTTTAACACTCCAAAAATAATTAATACCATTATTTTCATAAGCTTTATAACACAAGTTATTAACAAGTTCTTTGAAAGTAGTAAGGGAGGTAGTTAGAAGCACTGACAGATTAGTAGTAGAACACTTACTAGATGCGGAGATGAAACGGAATTTAAATGGTTGTTTGTGTAATTTAGGTAACTAGTACAAAGTCGGGACTTTCAAATGTTCAGAGGATGCTTTAAGCTGGAAAGTAGCAGTGATATGCTTGTTTACAGTTTGACTCTCTGTGGAGCGTACTGACCTGAATGTAGAAGAATTGATAATTTCGTTTTTTGAGAACTTCCGTGTAGTATATAGGCCATATCTTCTGTTTTTCTAATTCATAAAAAAATGCAATCACAATTTAGTTTTTTGTTTGAAATAGAATTTTATTTATACAATTTATATATAGATTTCTATTGAAAAATAAAAATCCAAAAGAAGAATCAAGCATGATTGATTTCAACAACTAATAAATATAAATATCTTCAGCAAGAAAGCAAGGGTGTAGGTTTGACAGTACGACATAAACATTTGTGTAGTTATCATTTAGCATTAGGCACACTACTTTAGGCCACAATCAGAAAATAACGACTGTAAACGCGATATATTTTATCAAAATATTTTGGGATATTGTTCTAATCCATTTGATATGATTTGAGAAAATCGGTAATAAACATGATAGAAGCATATGTCTACTAGATTCATTTCTGAATAATTTTGATATAGTATAAACATGTCAGTCACAACCTCTATACCTTTTTACCAAGTGAATAAAAATGACATTACTTTGTACAGCGAGAGCTTCTAGCTCATCGATTTTCCAGCAATAACACTAGCATCACCAATTTTACCTCATCATATGCGCATTTCGAAAATCAATTTTGTGAGACATGTACTCGTTCGTTTATTCTTATTTTCGTATCACATTTATCAACATTTTAATTATCTATTTGACCTTACTGGATGAATGTTTGAAATCGACAGCAGTGACTAAGCGTTCCATCTTTTTTGAAGCATTATCAGACATTTGTTTTTTCTGTCGTTATTATGACTTCTACCTTAAGAATGTGTTACAACGTTATTTGTTGACAATTTGTTATGAGTAGTTTATTTCTTCTTGCAGATGATATAAAAGTAATACAGGCGATATCGAACCACTCTGTTTCTCCGCCAATGATTGATGAAAGGCATAAGTGTAAGTAATTCATTATACTCATGCATGTATATGTAGTTGCAAGGAGCAAATAATGAAATATTGACATTATATATTTTCGAACGGGATAGAAAGAAACGCAGAAAAGTGATTGCTTTTTTAAAAATAGGTGTCAACATAGCAGATTTTGTGTGTACCATCGGAGGGTGTGGACAAATATGACACATAATGATAATGGTCATGCATTGACGTTCAAAATCAAACTAAAATGTTTGAGATTGCTAATATGAAAAAAAAAAAAAAATGCGCCTATTTCGTATATTCAAAGATGATAATACGAGATTTAAGATGTAAAGTTTTAAAACAGCATGCAACAAGCCATGTTTTTCTTTAAAAAAAAATACGCACTTTTTTTCACTGTTTTTTTGCATTATTTTATCAAATCAAAATTTATTTTCGTCTTAAAATATTAGCTATTAATATATACATCTCTTAATAACGGCTAAGTGGTAATCAGCGCCAATTATTCTTAAGGTTATGTATGTGTCTTACCTCACTGACGACATGTTTTGACGTCTAATAAAATTGAGAATGGAAATGGGGAATATGTCAAAGAGACAACAACCTAACCAAAGAGCAGACAACAGCCGAAGGCCACCAATGGGTCTTCAACGCAGCAAGAAAATCCCGCACACGGAGGTTGTCCTCAACTGGCCTCTAAATAAAATTGTGTACTAGTTCAGGGAAAATGGACGTCACACTAAACTCCAAAACATATAAATGAACTAGAATTAAAAAAACATACAAGACTAACAAACGCCAGAGGCTCCTGACTTGGGACAGGCGCAAAACAAAAAAGAACGTAAGATAATAGAATAGTCTTCTAATATGTAATTATATCGATTGCGTCATATTCCCGATTGCTTCATTTTGATTTAATGTGAATTCGGATTTCGAATGATGCATTCATAATAGGAGATGCTTACCCTGAAGACCCACCCTGTCATGCTCTTTTTGTAGTTCCTGCGATGCTCACAGTTTTTGTTTGATACACTGATTTGTCTATTTATTATTTGTTTGTGATCCGTGATCGTGTATTGGATCAAACTCTGCTTCTGCTAAGTACAGACAAGTTGCAGTTATTATATACATTGAAAATCACAGGCAACGAAAACTTTGTAACAGCTACTTTTAGAGATGAGGAATAAGGTATTGTAGAATCAGCAATATTATCAATCAAAAATCTGTTAATAATACAATACCTGATTACTTCAAAGATAACAACACACCTGTCATTTTATATACCTACACCAAACCTATTGCATCCATGATCTTCAACCACAAGAGGGTATAATCATGATTATTGACCTTTACTCTGAATAATACAAAAATCATAATGTCCGATTGTTCTTGTTCCTAACAAATTACAAATGGAGTCCAGTTAGTCATATTATTACTCAATGCATTGGCATCGTTACAATAAAACTAGTAGTTGCAAATCAAAGGCTCGAAATTCCAAAGTCCATTAACTGGAAGAATCACTTCAAGTTACTGATGGATGCAGTTGAGAATAATGTCAGACATTAGCGCGAGCCATTTACACTAAAACTAGAGTCTTCATCTGAATTGATTAAAGTTGTTCGTTCATGCATTCAGAACCGCATTCAAAATCTATGTCGTACAATGAACACTCGAGTTTCGATCCCTTTCAAGAAACACGAGGTTGTGGATGGTTAAATGTCTCTCCGCGAAAACTTTGTTGCTGTTTCAGCTGAAAAAATCCAAAACCCTAAGGCCTTACCAATTTAATTCCTTGTTTGACGGACCCACCCGCACATATTATTTTCTACACGGAAAAAAATATTTTTTTAATATTCCCGCTTCCCGCATCCGGAAAAGTAATCGTGTCTATTACCCGCACGTTTTTTTTTTGTAAACATTAAAAAGATAAAAAGCGATCCCAAGAGCGTTTTAGACAACGTCAATTGAAACCTTAGACTGTTTCGAGCATTAAAACAGATTTTTTTATCAGATTCAGAACAAAATAATGTCGATTTTCGTTATAAGAATAAAGTACGCAGAAGGAGAAGTAATGCTTTCAACTTCAATACCGTTTGCCGGCGGAACAAAACTATCCATACTCGCTGCATGTATATGCACCTGTCCCGAGTCAGGAGCCTGTTGGTCAGTAGTTGTCGTTTGTTGGTGTGGTTCATAGGTATTTCTCCTTTCATATTTATAGATTAGATTGTTGGTTTTCCTGTTTGAATTGTTTTTCACTAGTCATTTTGGGGTCCTCTATAGCTTGCTGCTTGAACTGGGCCAATGCCCCGTGTTGAAGGCCGTACTTTGACCTGTAATTGTTAACTTTAATCAGGTTGGGAAAAACCCCCCAAATGAGGGTATCCCTTAAAAGAGGGACGAAAGATACCAGAGGGACAGTCATACTCATAGATCGAAAACAAAGTGACAACGCCATGGCCAAAAATAAAAAGACAAACAGACATATAATAGTACAGATGACACAACATAGAAAACTAAAGACTAAGCAACACGAACCCAACCAAAAACTGGAGTGATCTCAGGTGCTCCGGAAGGGTAAGCAGATCATGCTCCACATGTGGCACCCGTCGTGTTGCTTATGTTATTACAAATCCAGTAAATAGTCTAAATCGGTAAGTCACATTCGTGAAAAGGGAAGGGTATTGTAGTTACGACATAAGGAACATATCCGATATCATCTGTGAAACGGTTATTCCATAACGGTCAACCAACTCGTGATGGCGTCCGTAAAATTTACGAAGGAATGATCTCAACTTCACCATTTGGAACTCTTGGCTTAATAGCTTCCTTGTGAGCAGCAATCCTCTATCAAGGAAATCATGATAGGAAACACAAGCCCGGGAATATCGTATCAATTGGGAGATATATACTCCGTATGCAGGCGCTGCTGGAATGTTGCTACATAGAAATGAAAAGTTCACAATTGGGAAGCTGAAATCATCTCTTTTGTCGTAAAGTTTTGTTTTCAACCGACCCTCATTGTCAATTTCTAGATGTAAGTCAAGATATGAGGCAGACTTAGCTGTATCTGTAGTATCCTTTATCTCTAGTTCGATGTGGAACTGTCCCTCAGACAAGGGGTCATTTTCCTGTTGTAGGAAAGAAAAACGAAAAACTTAGATTTTTTAACTTAAAAAGGGGAAAATTCATTGTATTTGGAACAACTTTTCTAACAGAGGGTTCCCAATATTTCTGAGAATAAAGAAGATAGAAGTCCAGGAATATTACAAAATTCGTGGACATGTTTTGACCATATAATACTAGATAGATGTATAGTTCTTTAGGAAAAGTTTCTTGAAATAATATAAATATGTGCTCATTTGTACTAAAAGTGGTTTTTACAAAAAAATATTTTTGATCACTAGAAATGTGATAGTCATTACATTAAGGGGTTACCCCTCATTTGAGGGGTTGTTCCCAACCTGTTCAATACATTATGTCTTGTAGTTGGATGGAGAATTGTCTCCCCCCCCCCTTTTTTGAAGTTAAATGGTTGCTCCCTTATACAAGAGGTCATAAATATGCTGCAGTTAAAAGTGGACATTACATGTCTTTGTGAACAGGAAAAAAAAACCACTTCAGGAGTTGATAAATTAAAGAAATGTCAAAGTTCAAGTGGCAAAAAAGGTAAATATGCGCTCATTTGTACTAAAAGTGGTTTTTACAAAAAAATATTTTTGATCACTAGAAATGTGATAGTCATTACATTAAGGGGTTACCCCTCATTTGAGGGGTTGTTCCCAACCTGTTCAATACATTATGTCTTGTAGTTGGATGGAGAATTGTCTCATTGTCATTGGCAATTATAACACATCCTATTTATATACAAAATGCCAAAGACAAAAAGAACAAAAATTAGAACACCAAAACGACGGAGACACAAATAACCAACATATATAAAAAAAAAAACTAAAATGTACGAACATCATCGAACAGCTCGAACCCCCCCAAAAAAACTGGGGGTGAACACTATGGAACGCCACAGCTGTCTTATGTGGAACTCTGATATTACTTTATGTTGTTTTATTATTACTTGATGATATTTTGTCTTTACTTAATATGGTTTTGACATTACGTAATGATGTTTTGATATAACTCAATATGGAATAGTCATTACTTAATGATATTTCGATATTAAACGATATGGTTTCGTATTGACTTGATATAGTTTTGTCATTACTCAATATGGTTTTTTCATTACTCAATGTGGTTTCACCAATATTTAATGTGGCTGTGTCATTAGTCAATGTGGTTTTAACATTACTTGATGTGAATGTGACTTAACGTTATGTAGTTGTTTCATTACATGATGTGATTTTGTTATTTTGTAATGATTATTTGCCTATTCTTTATATGGTTTTAACATTACGTAATGATGTTTCAAAATTTGACGATTTTACACTACATGATGTGTTTGTTTCATTATTTGATGTGGTCCTGTCATTCTTTGATGTGGTTATCCCATTACTTGATGAGGTAAAATCACGTGACCAATTCGGAAAAACCTGTTCTATTTTTAGATAGATTTCCATGTTGTATGTGCCTTGGATGAGTGTGGCCATCCATCGAATTAGAGTTCAAATTAAAGTTCGGGTTACTGTTTGAGTTAAACTTTGAGTTAGTCTTCGATTTCGAATTCAAGTCATTATTAGAAATAAAGTTTTAGTTAGCATTGAGTTTCGAGTTGGACTTCGAGTTTGAGTCACATTTAACTGAGGTAGAGTTCTAGTTACAACATTAAATTTGAGTCACTTTTTGGGGTAGAGTTTGAGTAAGATTCGAATTTATGTCTCATTTAGATTAATTAAGATTTTGAGTTGAAATTCGAGCTATCTTATATGAGTTCGTAATCAAATTTTCTATCGCGGAACAAGGACTTTTGCTCGGGCTTCCGAAAAGAGGGCTCCGGGTTATGCGTACAAAAGATAAACAATGTTACAGTATACAAAACGCAACATAAAAGTTGAAATAAAGTTAGATGTGGTGTGATTGACAATGAGACAACTATCCATCAGAGTTTAAATGCAGTGGATGTAAGAAATCATATATAGGTAACAGTACAGCCTTCAACACACCGTATAGTCAGCTACAAAAGGCCACCATGCAACATGTGAAAAAATGCAAACGAAAAAACAAACGTTCTTATTTATTAATAAACAATCTACAAAAAAAAAATGACACACATTTATACAACGACAACAAATGAACTTCATGCTCCTGACTTGGGGCAGGTACATAAAGAAAGTGCACGTGGCGGAGTTTGACATGTATGTGAGCGCTAAATCTTAACCTTACATCGGACTGTTACAGTTGTGTAACAGCACAACACGAGAAAAAAAATGTAAACTAGACAAAGTGATGCCCCCGCACTCAACTCATTTAACCGCTTATACCCCAAAAATGACCAAAAAAAGTTCAATTATCTCCCAAAAGAGCAAAAGATAATAAAAATAAAAACCCTGACCACATGCACATCTTCAATATATGTACAAACAGACAGTAAAGAGAAAACTTCCTAGGATTCAAACTGTAGGAGGAGTTATGCGGAATAACTATATACCCATAATGGGATGGACAGACGGACGGACGGACGGATGGACGGACGGACAGGGGTAAAACAATATGCCCCCCTCCCCAACTTTCAGTTGCGGTGGCATACAAAACAGTTTCATTTGGCTGTTTCAATAGATCGGTATGACTGGGTAATACAAATCCATCGGGGTGATCTCGGATGCTCAATAAAGGCACCCGTCGTGTTATTCGAGAAAGTACAAACCCAGTGATTTGGTTTTATTTGGTAGTTTACATTCAAGGAAAAGATGACGGTTTTATGGTTACGACCACTGGAACATGTCCGTCGTAACATATGAAACAGATATTCCAAAAAGTTTATTTTTCAATTAGTGCGAGGTAGATCAGGGAATTCAATTGATTACAAATATAAGATTGATATTCGTATAAGTTCAAATGATCATTTACGCTACAAAAAAATCGGAGAATTCTTATTATATAGTATTGATGCTTTGTCGCTTATTCCTAGCCCCCTTCCCCCGTTTCCCTGTAACTTTAATGTGAGTTGATTTGAAGTGTTTCATTTGTTAACAATAAAGTTCAAGTCTTTTGATTTGTGTCGAGCCTGCGACATCAATGTAGCGGCAGTGAGACACACCAAACCTATATTTCGTCGTCGATAGTGGCGTCGGCGTCTCCATCGCCATTATTTTCTTTCTATTGAGCTTAACCTT